GGTGGCTTGGTCGTGCTTTACTAAAACTAATTAGCAAGTTTTAATCATGAGAATCCAACGAAAACACTTCTCAAAGGCCGAGTAGTGTTATTAAACACTTTGTTTCAATTTTAAAATCATTCTGAGTATTTATATTCTAATATCTGAAAGTTTCATGTAATTTTGTAAGGCAGTTTTCGTGTTAGCATGACTTTTTCAGCTGTAGTCTTACTTTATTCTGACTTAGCAAAATTCAATAATTTTATCATATGTCATCTCAATGTAAATTTGGTTTCATTCAATTTATATCAAAGATCTGCCCACCAAGATACTTGTCTATACCTACTGTATAAGTTGCTGAGATTTCATGAGTGTTTGACTAAATCTCAGCCATTTAATTTAGGGTGGCTTGGTCGTGCTTTACTAAACTAATTAGCAAGTTTTAATCATGAGAATCCAATGAAAACACTTCTCAAAGGCCGAGTAGTGTTATTACTTTGTTTCAATTTTAAAATCATTCTGAGCATTTATACTCTAATATCTGAAAGTTTGATGTAATTTTGTAAGGCAGTTTTTGTGTTAGCATGACTTTTTCAGCTGTTGAGTCTTACTTTATTCTGGCTTAGCAAAATTCAATAATTTTATCATATGTCATCTCAATGTAAATTTGGTTTCATTCAATGTATATCAAAGATCTGCCCACCAAGATACTTGTCTATACCTACTGTATAAGTTGCTGAGATTTCATGAGTGTTTGACTAAATGTCAGCCATTTAATTTAGGGTGGCTTGGTCGTGCTTTACTAAAACTAATTAGCAAGTTTTAATCATGAGAATCCAACGAAAACACTTCTCAAAGGCCGAGTAGTGTTATTAAACACTTTGTTTCAATTTTAAAATCATTCTGAGCATTTATGCTCTAATATCTGAAAGTTTCATCTAATTTTGTAAGGCAGTTTTCGTGTTAGCATGACTTTTTCAGCTGTAGTCTTACTTTATTCTGACTTAGCAAAATTCAATAATTTTATCATATGTCATCTCAATGTAAATTTGGTTTCATTCAATGTATATCAAAGATCTGCCCACCAAGATACTTGTGTATATCTACTGTATAAGTTGCTGAGATTTCATGAGTGTTTGACTAAATCTCAGCCATTTAATTTAGGGTGGCTTGGTCGTGCTTTACTAAAACTAATTAGCAAGTTTTAATCATGAGAATCCAACAAAAACACTTCTCAAAGGCCGAGTAGTGTTATTAAACACTTTGTTTCAATTTTAAAATCATTCTGAGTATTTATCCTCTAATATCTGAAAGTTTCATGTAATTTTGTAAGGCAGTTTTCGTGTTAGCATGACTTTTTCAGCTGTAGTCTTACTTTATTCTGACTTAGCAAAATTCAATAATTTTATCATATGTCATCTGAATGTAAATTTGGTTTCATTTGATGTATATCAAAGATCTGCCCACCAAGATACTTGTCTATACCTACTGTATAAGTTGCTGAGATTTCATGAGTGTTTGACTAAATCTCAGCCATTTAAGGTGGCTTGGTGGTGTTTTACTAAAACTAATTAGCAAGGTTTAATCATGATAATCTAATGGAAACACTTCTCAAAGGCCGAGTAGTGTTATTAAACACTTTGTTTCAATTTTAAAATCATTCTGAGCATTTATGCTCTAATATCTGAAAGTTTGATGTGATTTTGTAAGGCAGTTTTCGTGTTAGCATGACTTTTTCAGCTGTAGTGTTACTTTATTCTGACTTAGCAAAATTTAATAACTGACTCAATGTATGCTTTATAAAACCTTATATTTTTCAATCGCATACACTGTACACTGTATACTGTATTTCATTAGAGTTAAATGCTATAAGTATATTTTAATTATAAATAAGTCTTAATTAAAATGAGCTAATAATTCGAGACATAGGCCCTAATAGTTAGAATATAAGTATTTTGATATTGTACATTACAGTAGTCTTGAATGGTCTGTGCAAGTGTAGGTCGTTCCAATATAAAGTTTTAGTGTAAACAAAACCATTTTTATAAAAACAGCAAATGCCTAAAGAGAGTGGCAAATGCCTAAAGAGAGTGGCAAATGCGTATTGAAGTATACTGTATACGGGACACCTGCTCAACTCAGTTACACAATTTTTACACAATACATTCAGTATGTGTATAGTGGTCACAAGTAATGATTTGTACTTAATTTATTTGTTTGCAGTGTTCTTCGATGGAGGGCACAACTGACAAGAAGGCACAAGTATCCAGATCGAAGCACAAATGCCCATTTCCAGACTGTAAATCGGACGTTGTACATCTTCCTCGTCACATGAAGCATGTTCATGGTTGGAGCAAGGAAAGAGCAAGTGGTGTTTTGAAAGCTTTTGATCTGCGCAAACCAAAAACACTGTCTTCAAAGAAGAAAGCATGAAAATTTAAAAGGAAAATCTGCCCGATCAAGAACTGCAATGGGGTTGTTAAGCGCATCCATAATCACCTCACAGATGTTCATAATTTAAAAAGAAATGGCGAGATGTACAAATTATGTTTGGAAGCTGCTGTAGTCCATGATTCTAAAGATCTACCTTCGCTTAGCGAGTCCTCAGAAGAAGACGTGACATCAGATCCGTCAGACAAGCAATCAATCAATCAAGGTCATGGACAATGTTCCAAATCCAGCAATGAGCAAAAATGCCATCCCAGTATTTTCAAGAATATATATAGCAGTGATGAAGGATCAAGTAATGACGAACCTGACTGGGCTAGTGTGACACCAGTAGAAGAAATGGATACAACAAATCAGGATGGTGTTGGTGATCAAGAGGATCGAGATCTAGTTGGTGAAAATAATGAAAATCCGCCCTTGAACAGTAATAATGAGAGAATTTTAAGTTCTAGAGAGAGCAAAGATGAGACCTGACGGAGGACGCAAAGATGAGAAATGTGCAAATCAGTGTAAGCGACAAGTACAAATGGTAATCGAATTTATTGACTCTGAAAATCCATCATTAACATTATTAATGTCCAAGTGCACAATACGGGATAAATGGTTGACAGAGTTTGAAAAGGTAAAACAGCCTGGGACTGTAAAGTCGTATTTAGGAACGCTCAACCAATTTTATTTATTCATACAAGTCGAATGCGCCGACAAGTTTGAGGCTCTTAATGTATCCCAACCTGATTTGATTAGTCTCGCTAACCAAGTAAAGCTTTGGGTGAGATCATATCGTAAATTGAGCCAGGATCGATTCTGGGAGAAGAGAGTGGAAGACCTGGCTAACAAGAAAACGCCTGAAGATATAAGGAAGTTTGACTCTTTTGGGGTTGCAAGAACTGCTGTTAAAACAATCGGCGAATTTAACGAGCAAGACCAACTCCTGACTCAGGTGGAATATACAAACGTACGTGATTATCTGTTGACCGTAATATGCATCAACAACGGAAGCAGGTCGGGTTCATTGGCGAATATGACCTTAGAAGAATTCAAACAAGCGACCATGGAAGAGGGTTGTTATGTCGTTCGTGTTAAAAAACATAAAACATTCACCACCCATGGCCCGGTCAATGTTGTGTTGCATCCAACGTTACATAAATACGTTGAAATCTTTATTTCAAAGATGAGAAACTGTCTTCCAGATACAAATTTGGATACAAAGGAAACTGTTTTTTTAAACTGGAAAGGATGTGAAATGTATTCATCCCATGTCGGTTCACAAATTGGGTCGTGTTGGGGAAAGGAAGCCTCGACTGGCGGTGCTACATCTTTCCGAAAAGCAGCTGTTTCAGCTGTCCACGAGACCAACAAAGAAATAAGAGGTGACTTGGCAAATCTTATGGTGCATAATAGAGCCACTGCTGACAAATATTACCTCCTTGAGGACAAGGGCAAAACAGCTGTAAGAACCTCCAAGGAACTCTCCCGAATTATGCGAGATGCCCATTGCACGAAAACGCGAAACTATACGTCAGGAGAACCATCAACCTCCAGTTGTGTACAGGTAGCAGTTGTAACCCATAGACACAAGTGGAAAAAAGACGAAAGTGCCGCAGTAGCAACTCTATTCGCCACGAACATCCAAAATCACTCAATTTCCCTGGAAGAAGTAAGAAATGTGTCCAAAGATCATGTAATATTAAGCAAAATTTCCACTTCAAAAATAAGGGACAAAAGAAGATCATTGTTCACGCAAAATGACCCTGATGACCCTGAAGAACTCCCTTCACTTCCAAAGGAGTGTGAGACGCCTGAAGAACGATTGGAAAGATTTGGAATTCCTCCTGCTGCTGGTAAGTAAAAAGTTGTTCTTCTAATTTTTTTATTTCTTGCTAATATTTTCCCAAAGACTAAAAAAAAAAACAGAACTGTATTTATGATCGTGTTTGGTAACGAAGTTGCAGTAAGTGTCATGATGGAAGTACAATAAACTGTTTTGTCCAGGTTTGGGCATAACTGATTTTTGGTCGTTTTCCATCTTTGACTTGCAGTATATACCAATTTGTTTGTTTGCTGTAGCATTGCTATTGATTCGGCACGAAAGAAATACTAACCTACTAACTACTACAGATTAACCGTAACTCGTTTACATCTTTCAAACGTTGAGGCTTAACTCGAAGAACAAAATGTTTGACTTTGCTCGAGTTAAGCCCCTATATTTTCTAGAGGGCTTAACTGGAAGTACCTAACTCCAGTTATGCACTTCAAGTTAAGCCCTCAACGGAAATGGGTGTGGTATGGGAGGTCGGGAATCTTCGAGTTAAGCCCTTCGAGTTAAGCCCCTCGAGTTAAGCCCTTTTCGAGTTAAGCCCCGACCACGCCCTTTTTCAAAAAGGGCTTAACTCGAAGAACGAAACACGATTTGGGTTATTCAAGTTAAGCCCCGGGGCTTAACCCGAAGTTTGACAAAAAAGTTGTTGCTCGAGTTAAGCCCCGACTTTTGAAGTATGTCAACGAGTGCAATATTAAATTGTCAAATTTTCAATACAAAAAAGCCAAAGCACAGAAAGTTTCCCAAAAAGAACTTATATATCGCTAATGTAATACGATTATCAAAAACAAACACAACTATTATCGTATTTTAGGTATATTTTGGGTTTTTCATATTAATTTAATAACAGGTAATTACTTTTAATTTAGTGAATCGTTTATCCACAACAAAACAAGACAATATTTTAATTATAAAGTAGATAGAATCCTAACTCGTTCCTTTTGCTAATAAAATTACGTACTGTACATGTGCGTATGAGGCGTGAATCTCTGCATGGGCGCAAGTTGTCAAAGACAGATCATTCTATACCGAAATTCCTTCCCTTTCCTCTCTTTTTCTTTAGTTATTACGTGCTGTCATTTTCGATCATTTTCTTAATAGATTAGTTTTGTTCAAGGTGATGGGAGAAGGTTGTACCTTTTTTGTTACAGTCAAACTGTTAATTTGTCGATATTGTGCACATTCAAACAAAAGGAACGAGTTAGGATTCTATCTACTTTATAATTAAAATATTGTTTTGTTGTTTTGTTGTGGATAAACGATCCACTAAAAGTAATTACCTGTTGAGTGTTGTTAAATTTAATATTAATTTAAATATGAAAAACCTAAAATATTGTTAACGATAATAGTTGTGATTGTTTTAGATAATCGTATTACATTAGCGATATACAAGTTCTTTTTGGGAAAATTTCTGTGCTTTGCCTTTGGCTTTTTTGTATTGAAAATTTGACAATTTAATAATGCACTCGTTGACATACTTCAAAAGTCGGGGCTTAACTCGAGCAACAACTTTTTTGTCAAACTTCGAGTTAAGCCCCGGGGCTTAACTCGAATGACCCAAATCGTGTTTCGTTCTTCGAGTTAAGCCATTTTGGAAAAAGGGCGTGGTCATGGCAAAACAGGGCGTGGCCGGGTCTTAACTCGAAAAGGGCTTAACTCGAGGGGCTTAACTCGAGGGGCTTAACTCGAAGATTCCCGATCTCTGGTATAGGCTTCGAGTTAAGCCCTTCGAGTTATGCCCTCCGAGTTAAGCCCTTTTCGAGTTAAGCCCCTGCCACGCCCTTTTTTGCCGGGGGCTTAACTGGAGTCAAGCCCCGACATTTGGTGGATGTAAACAAGTGACGTGTGTATACTTGCACGAATATTGGCAAATATATGTAAGGAGGGAGAATGTAAAATTTCAGCAATTTTAAGAAATATATTTCACTTAGATCTCTGTTGCTTTGCCTACAATTTTATACAGACAATGACATCGTGAAACGAGAGAGCTCAATAAGGATTTGTAAACAACAGGCTCATTCAGGGCAGCAATTACGGATTTAAAAACTAAGTAATATATAGCGGAACCTGCAGAACGAAAATCATAGGCATGTTCATATGGAGGCGAGCTACCTTTCTATGATATATCTCTTCTCCGAAGTAGAGGACATGAATACTACAGCGTGACATCATACTGAATTGTTTTGTTAGAAAATGGTTTTACTAGCTAGAACTTCATTCTTGATCATTCTGATTTCTGAGAATATCCAAATAGTACACATAATCATGATATTTTAGTTTCGTTTGCCGTTGTTGTGATTCGGTTATTTGCCGTTGGTAATTAGTGGAAATATTTGTATCAGTTATCCACTTACAATAGTTTGAATTTCTTCGTCTCTGTTCTCTCTCTGATGGGTTCTTGGCAAGATGAGTCACTCGCTTGTGTCATGTAAATAGTCACCGGAATACTATATAGTTTATAGTAACAAGTTTACATAATCTAGCCCTAGATCGTGTCGTTGCCGAGCAAATCGGTTGGAAAGGTAGCTCACCTCCATATGAACATGCCTAAGATTTGCTTTCTGCAAGTGGCGCTATAGCCTATATATTATTTATTTTTTAAAGCCGTAATTGCCGTCCTTAATGAGCTGTTGTTTACAAATCCTTATTGAGATCTCTCATTTCACGATATCATTGTCTGTATAAAACTGTAGGCAAAACAGCAGAGATCTAAGTAAAATATATTTCTTAAAATTGCTGAATTTTTACATTCTCCCTCCTGACATATATTTGCCAATATTTTTGCGAGTATGCACCACACGCGTCACTTGTTTACATCCACCAAATGTCGGGGCTTAACACGAATGCTTAATTTAAATCGTTAATTGACTTCCAGTTAAGCCCCCGGCAAAAAAGTGCGTGGCAGGGGCTTAACTCAAAAAGGGCTTAACTCGAAAAATACCTACTCCGGTATGGGAGTGTTGGGGGCTTAACTCGAAAGGGCGTGGTCGGGACTTAACTCGAAGGGCTTAACTCGAGGGTCTTAACTCGAAGATTTGCTACCCCATGGATAAACCTAGATAATGCTTCGAGTAAAAAATTCAGTATATTATGATGTGTGAGTTGCTATTGAAAAGCTGTGGTACAGTATTTCATTGTCACAGTACACTACTAAGTACATTATACAAATAATGAATGTTTATGAGTGCCAATGGTAAATATATTTTCATAAGGTGAAAGATGGAATTTTCCTTTCCACGAGACGACAGCTCGGTGGGATGGAAAATTCCATCTTTCACCGAATAGAAAGTAGATCGTGAAAATAGATCGATTTTATCGAATTTTTAAGTGAATTAGATACAAAACAAATACATACCTTGTTCAAAAATAATTAAAATCCAACAAATGTTGAAGATCCAAGCTTAAGGATCGAGAGCTTTGCAATAATAAATTTATGTGGTGATTCCACAAAACTAAACTTATATTGTTGTTCACCATGCAAAGCTACAAGGAACTTAAATATATACCTTATTCAAAAATAATTAAAATCCAACAAAAAGTGCCAACAAGGGGCCGTGGGCCATTGTGCGAAAAAGTGCTTAGAAAAGCAATTTCGTTGCAGCCCCCTGGGGAATACATTTTCTGTGGTTCAATGCATAGTACCATAGATGCTCAATTACCACAAAAAGTTCCCAAGCAAAAAACCTGCCAAACCCCGAGAAAATTGGCAATCGGTGTTTATCCTCTATTAAATTGTATTACAGCAAGAAAATGTGAAATTTTATATTCAATTACATGAAAAATGACTTGCATCATCAGAAAGCTTACAAAAATCTACGTTTCGGACATTTAAACAGTTTTTTCTATATCTCAAATTGTTTTTGAGTTTTACGCTGTCAATAACGCGTTTTTGACCCAGTACCCAGTCCTTATTGCAACATTTTGGTCCAATTTTCACATTTAAAACAGCAATAACTCAAAGACTACTTGATCAAAAAACTGTTTAAAAGTCTTATATGCCGGTTTTTGTAAGCTTTCTGTTGACGCAAGTAATTTTTGTTGTAATTGAATACAAAATTTCACATTTTCTTGCTGTAATACAATTTAATAGAGGATAATCACTGATCACCCATTTTCTCGGTGTTTGGCAACTTTTTTGCTTGGGAACTTTTTGTGGTAATTGAGCATCTATGGTATACTATGCATTTAACCACAGAAAATTTATTCCCCAGGGGGTTGCCACAAAGCGAAATAATTTTGGCCAACGGCCCACGTAAAAGTTATCATTAAAATATTTTGTTTTTATACCCGATATTTTGTTTCGTACGAGTGATGTACTTGAATTTAATTCCAGCAGTTTCAATATGAAAGTTATAGTTACAGTAGTTGAGCTACGATTACGACACGAATAGGATTTTTAATTTAATGCAACCTATCGTTAATAGTACAAAAACTATTGTATGGCTGGAGCGTGCAATAGTTCTTGCACTATTAAATGGTAGGGAAATGGGAACTTTAATTCCACATCACGTGATCATAAGCAGCAAATTAAATGACCAGAATTTAATGAGGTGTGATATAAAGAGTATTATTTTGAAATTTTAGGTTTACGTGGAAATGGGCATCATAATGTTACCAACGTTGATGATACCAATGGTGATAATACCAATGGTAAAGATAAAAACGGCGATGATGACAAGGAGGATGACAATGATGGTGATGACAATGATGATCATGACAACGATGATCATGACAAGGATGATCATGGTAAGGATGATGATTACAACGGCGATGATGCCAACGATGATGATGACAACAGTGATGATAGCAGCAGTTGTAACAAGAACGGCAATAGCAACGGCGGTCCAGTCCAGAGGCATAAAATTCCGTCAGTTGTGCCTGGATCGACAACATCAAATGCATCGGGGAAGTCAAAATTGTTTACATCCGAAGAGAATGCTGAATTCCAAAATCTGTTCAAAGATTTAATTAATTCAAAGAAACAAATTTTGAGCAGCTTGATTGTTTCCAGACTGAATGGAAATTCAAAATTGGCCCATTTGGTGGAAAAATGTTCGAAGCAGCAGCTTGCAGATAAAGTTCGCACTGAAAGAAAAATTGCTGCAAGTCACAGAGGAAAAACACGATAATTTGAATTTTACTGCACTAGTGAACTAGACTATTGCACTAGACTTTTGGGTGCATTTGTTCTGTTTTGTTTTGTTTTATTCTGTCGAACTTTGACAGATTGAACTGTTATATTTTAGCATAATATGCATGGTTTATAAAAACACAAAGTTAAGTCTTTCAAATGTCCTCTAAAGGCTAATTTTCCAAAAAGGCTATTTTTCTAACGACATCAAAAACTGCTTGCATGCAAAAATGAAAGTTTTTTAGGTGATTTGAGTTTACAGAGGCGTGTTTGAAATGTGCTTTTATGAACTATCAAAGTAAGAATAATCCTTGATTGCCAGTGTGTTCCCTGTCAGTCATTTTTTACATTGACAGTTCATAGAAAGTATTTTAAAGTTGCCCCATAACATAAATCACCTTCTAAACCATTCATTTTTGTACACTAGCCATTATTGATGATGTTGGCAAAAACAGACCTTGTTTGAACTTTTGAGTTTACTGTGGAGAAAATAATTTAAGGAATCAAAACACCTTCAAAACTTCTCATTTATGCAGTATAATCTTTACAAAGTTGGAAATTTTCTGTTTAGAGGTTATTTGAAACCATATGTGCATGTATTAAACAGTATTTGATAATTACTGTATATGTTTCCATCCAGAATTTTTGGTGAAAAGGCTTTTCAAATCAATAACCATTGGTGATAAATAACGAGAATAAATCATTTGTTCTCATTGAACCTTGTGTTGTACTGATTTCTGAACTGAGATTGGGATTCAAGCAGGGCGGCAACGTGAATTCTGTATTGGTACCAAATATTTAGTAATTTCACTTTCAGTCGATCTTTATTTATAGGCCCCATGTGTTACACTATAGCGGATTCATATCGGAGTGACATCAACTTAAGACGCCAAATTTTCCAGTCTTGTAATTTGCTCTTAGAACTTTTCATATTTGCAGTTTTTGTTTAATTCTGCTATATTTTCATAATTTTAAGTGCTAAATGGACCCCAAAAATAGCAAAATATATTGTCGCTCTGATAGCAATCCGGTGTAGTGTTAACTGGGGCCTTAGATAAAATAAAACAAGTCAATATTGAAATTGAAAAAATTGGATTTTATTGCTTCCTGCATGGTGATATTTCCAACAATCTTGCTGCAGTGGTATTTTAGTCGGTGTTCCTTGCCATTATATACAAAAAAAGTACTGACATTTTGCGACATGATTTATGAGAGACAAGTTTTAATTTATATATTGTGTTCAAATTGAAGATGTCAATATTTTTTGAATATCTTTTCATGATTTCTATTTTAAAAGTCAAACCTTCCAAGCAATGAAATAATGACTGCCTTATTCTTGGATTTACTGCTAGCAATTAGTGATGTTGTAAGACTTTAATCAAACTTTTTCATAGACACAGTAGTTGATATAATAAAGCCAAAAAGCTCATTTCCCCCCTTTTTTAACAAATGATGCATGTATCCTATTGCCCGATATTGCTTCTTCCAAACATTTTTGTATGCTAATACACACCACAACTGGTATCAAGCAAGCAACTACCCATGTTATAGCAACACAAAAAATTTATTTATTATATTATACACATATTATACACAGTTTGCTAATACCTAAAGACAGAATAAATTAGTGCATAGATTTGAAAAAACGGAATAGGAAGTGTATTTAATTGAGAATTCAAAGTCTTAGATAGCTAGGGTTCTCACCAAGTCGTGTTACATAAAGGAACATCAAGGTTACATAAAGGAACATCGAGGTTACATAAAGGAACATCAAGGTTACAAAAAGGAACATCAAGGTTACAAAAAGGAACATCAAGGTTACAAAAAGGAACATCAAGGTTACAAAAAGGAACAGCAAGGTTACAAAAAGAAACAGCAAGGTTACAAAAAGGAACAGCAAGGTTACAAAAAGGAACAGCAAGGTTACAAAAAGGAACAGCAAGGTTACAAAAAGGAATGACTGTTCCTTTTTGTAACATTAGAAGTTACAAAAAGGAACACATCAAGTTACAAAAAGAGGAACATTGATATGTCAGTCATGAAATCTCAGAAACTTATACAACAGCTAGGTATACACAAGTATTTTAGTGGCTAGATCCTTGATCTACTATCAGTGAAACCAAATTTATATTGTGATGACATGTTAAAATTAGTGAATTTTGTTTAAGTAGGGTAAAGTAAGGTCTTAGCTGAAAAACGCATTGTAACACAAAATTTCCCGAACAAAATTACGGTATACCAAACTTTCAGAACTTAGAGTATAAATGCTTAGAATGATTTTGAAAGTAGAACAAACTGTTTCGTAACAATACTCAGCCTTTGAGAAGTGTTTTCATTGGGGTTTTTTATGATTATAACTTGCTAATTAGTTGAGTAAAACAATGTCAAGCTGCCTTAAATGGCTGAGATTTAGTCAAACACTCATGAAATCTAAGCAACTTATACATCAGGTATAAACAAGTATTTTGGTGGCGAGATCTTTGATCTACTTTCAGTGAAACCAAATTTACATTGAGATGACATGTTAAAAATAGTGAATTTTGCTTAAGTAGGGTAAAGTAAGACCTTAACTGAAAAACTCATGCTAACACAAAAACTGCTCAACAAAATTATACCAAACTTTCAAATATTAGAGTAGTAATGCTTAGAATTATTTTGAAAGTGAAACAAACTGTTTATAGTAACAATATACTCAGCCTTTGAGAAGTGTTTTCATTTGGTATTTTATGATTATAACTTGCTAATTACTAATACAGTAGCTTACTAAAGCTGTGTGAAGCCGCCTTAAATGGCTGAGATTTACTCAAACACTTATGAAATCTCAGCAACTTGTGGTTAGATCTTTGATCTACTTTCAGTGAAACCAGATGTACATTGAGACAACATGTTAACAATAACAGTGAATTTTGCTGAAGAAGAGTAAAGAAAGACCTCAGCTGAAAAACTCGATCATGCTAACACAAAAACTGCTTAACAAAATTATACCAAACTTTCAAATATTAGAGAATTAATGCCTTTGAGAAGTGTTTTTCATTTAATTAGTATTTTATGATTATAACTTGCTAATAACTTAGCTTACTAAAACAGTGTGAAGCCACCTTAAATAGCTGAGATTTAGTCAAACACTTATGAAATCTCAGCTATTTATACAACAGGTATAAACAAGTATTTTGGTGGCTAGATCTTTGATCTACTTTCAGTGAAACCAAATTTACATTGAGACGACATGTTAAAATTAGTGAATTTTGTTTAAGTAGTGTAAAGTAAGGTCTTAGCTGAAAAACTCATGCTAAGACCACTATTTGTTGTATATTAGATTATTAGTTTCTCATCCCCGCCCACAAGCTTTTTAAGAAAATGGTCTTGTTCACCATTATTGCCATTTTTGACCATTATTATAAATTTTGAGGTGTCTTCAAAGTGAAATTTGAAAGAAAGACAATTAGAAATGTTCCCAAACCAAATGTTATAGTTAATAAAATACGAAATTTCATACCAAAACTGAACTTTCATACCAAAACTGCCAGTTTCTCCTGCAATTACATACATGCTATCAAATATGCAAACTCAGCTATAAAAGTTCTACCAGAAGTCAGGGGCAGGGAAGAAAAACGTGAGACGACTTTGCTACAAAATTATTTCACATCTGGAGCGCCCATGTTTTTAATATGAAAACATGATTTCAGTTGCAAATTTTGTTCTGTTTTGCAATTCTAAATTACAGGGTGTGGAATTATTCAGAAAGTTGCAGCTGTATAAAACATATACAACGATTCCTGTATTTTCCGGTACGCACTACATAAATGCTTAATGCTTAACACTTTTACAAAATAAATTTTACGGAGAGGAGAAATCCTGCAAATAATGGCATAATGGTAATGGCCCGCCCGCATCAACTTTAGGTGAAGCTCCGGATGAGAAACTAATATACAACAAATAGTGGCCTAACACAAAATCTGCCTAACAAAATTATACCCATGTAACTTTCATATCTTAAAGTATAAATGCTTAGAATGATTTTGAAAGTAGAACAAACTGTTTCGTAACAATACTCATTCTTTGAGAAGTGTTTTCATTGGGTTTTTTTGTGATTATAACTTGCTAATTAATTAGTTTAGTAAAACAATGTCAAGCCGCTTTAAATGGCTGAGATTTAGTCAAACACTCATGACATCTCAGCAACTTATACATTAGGTACAAACAAGTATTTTGGTGGCTAGATCTTTGATCTACTTTCAGTGAAACCAAATTTACATTGAGATGACTTGTTAGAATTAGTGAATTTTGTTTAATAAAGTGAACTGTTACAAGTACAGTAATTGCATGGTTATAAACTAAAGATGTTGCAGTCAGTGCTCTGTGATTAGATTAACGATTTGGGAAGAGTTGAACTGCTACAAGTGGGTGGTTATAACATGTTGTGGTCAATGTCCTGTGCTTAGGTATAATGATTCGGGAAGACCGGAACTGCTACAATTAAGTGACTGCATGGTTATAATCTACAAGATGTTGTAGTCAGTGTCCCATGTTTAGATATAATGATATGGGAAGACTTGAAGTGCTTCAGGTGAATGATTATAAACTACAGGATGTTGTAGCAATAAGTGTCCAGTGCATACAGTAGATATAATGCTATGGGAAGACTTGAACTACTAAAGATATGTTTAAACTTATAGCCTTATAGCCTAGATTTTGACAGTGTGAACAGACCTTGGCCTAGCCAAGGAATCTGGGCTCACTACAACTGGTCGCCTGGGCTTGTGGAAATGTAAACACTTTTGGCCCTGGTCCTTACAGTATGTCCATGGCAAGGTTAGCGGCCAACCAGTAGACAACGTCACAA